GTATAATTAATAATCGGCCGTTCGGCGAATTGGTGAGACCCGACAGCTCACGAATCCAATGGGCGCCAGGTACGGCGATCCGTACCCACTAACTCTACAATCACTAAAAGATAGTTTCGCCGACGAGCACAGCTCGTTCTCCGCCTGAAAAGGCTCACACGCAAAACTAGTAGCTCAGTCCCGCTCTTGGTAGAGGGGCTGGTTCGTGACAAGTCGAAGCCAAAAGATGCAGATGTTAAAGATCTTGCAAAATATATCGCAGTATAATATAATGACTTTATTTCGGCAGCGGATACAATGATGGTTATTTCGGCAGCTACAGTTTAATAACAATCTTACTCGCGTTCGCGACGGGTATTCGGCAGCGCAATATAATGGTCGTGACCGACGAAGGTTATGACAGCCACGTAGGCACTTGACGGTGTGCTCGCTCGTCGGCACGCGAAACAGCGAATGTTCAGCAGATAATTAGTATCAAAAATATAACCTGGAGCTCTCCTCGTTCGCGAAAGGGACGCGAACTCTCACCCTCGCCCGGGTGGACGGTCGAGCCCTCGCTCTCCGACGCATTGGCTGGTCCGCGACCCGAAAGCTGTTCGTTCTCTTTAGAACGGACGCACCAAATTGGTCGCGAAACAGGCACAGTTGGTTGCAGGCAGCGGCGATTCCTCCAGGTTCACAAAAGAACGCAGTAAAACGGCAGCGGCCTTAAACCCGTATCAGACTACCGACTGCACAAACTGACCCAACTGCCGACTACACCTATCGACTCTCAATAGACCAATCACAGTGAAACGCCGATTGACTGGATCGGCCGACTCGCATTTAGACTTCAGTCTATTTTTCGAGTCGGCGACTCGAGTCGTAGCCAATCATATGGTAGTTCATGTGATAACGCAACTATTTTCTTCTTCTAATATTTTGAGATTTCTTAAAAGAAAGTTTTATATTTCTTGACATATATGCCATTATTTTACTATCATACAGAACTTAACTTAATGACAATAGGTGCATTCAGCGAACTCAACAGTTGCACAACAGTTGAACAATTCGTCAATGTATTGGTCTAGATTTAGGAATCTAATAGTAATAATCAATAATCGCTAATTGCTCATTGAGCGCTTTTCCCGCGCCTATTTATTGCACTTTTTGTTCTCTAGCAGATGTCACTAGTACGATCAGTCGGCAACAGTCGTCAATAAGTGTGATTGACCGACTGGAGTCGGCAGTCGTAGTCGGCAGTCGAGTCAGCCTGCAGTCGGTAGTCTGATACGGGCTTTACGGGTCCTCTGGTCGAGTCATCGTCATCGTAGTCTGCGTCGCTATCGGCTTTGCGTATGGCACGTCCTTCACAGTTTTCACAGTTTCCGTGATTACAGGAAGATAACGAGAGCTCTCGAGCAATCGTTGGAATCCGATTTTATCCCAGTTCGAATCGCTCTTCTCGACAGCTTTTGGCCCTTAATTGGCCGATTTCCGGGATCAAATCCCCCAGTTTTGACCTTGTTTGTGGCGACAGTTTCGTCTCAGCCCGTATTTCATCTTAGCAATTCATCGGTTGTTCCGACCTTGGGGTTTCATCTTGTCGGCAGCCGTTGTTTCTCTCGATCCCCAAGCCTCGCAGCGTCTTCGCTCGGCTCGGAGGATGCTCCGGGTCGCGGAGGATGCGCTCGCCGGCGTCGCTTAGGCTGCGGCTGTCCTCCGCTCGTTCGCGGTGTCCGTCGATTCCGTCCTCACGGCTTCCTTGCGGCAGCCCGTGATCGGTCTACGTCGGCAGCTTTTTCTCGACGTCCAGTATCCTTGTCGGCCACTTCTGGCTGAAATATGCATGCTTAATTTGGCCCGCCCTGTCGATCTCTAATTATTATTAAGATTTATAGGAACGATTCACCTGGGACATTCGGTCCCCGATATATTCCCCTCGAGAACTCCTCCCACGGCGGTAGCAAATCATTCCTGGTATGGATCTTCTTTCTTCTCGACTCGACCTCTTGATGACCGCATTTTTACATAAATAAATGAGGGCTGCGCAGGTTCACGTCCTGTCCGCCTTACGGCTAGGATGCGACATCCATGTGCAGCTGGAAAGTTCATTTTCGCGTGACTTTTCGCGTGACGGGTGATAATTCAAAATCGCCACGTCACATAACAGACTATCGTTAGCCAGAAATGAAGTAGCTCGGTATACAAATATGGTATCTAATTTCTGACATTTTTTGACAGTGTTCTCGTCCGTTATATTAAAATTATAAATATTATGTATAAAACTGCTTTGTCTCTCATATTGTGTTTGTGTCTTGTCCGCACTTTACGTAGAAATTTAATAAATGATACATAGCCCAAGAAACACAGAACAGTTAAAATGACGTCAAATGACGTCAAGGAAATGTTTTACTAGTATAAGAACTAGGGTAGTTTTTATTTACTCTTGGTAAAAAATTTTTTTCGAATTTTTTCCGCGGCATCCTCCAAAAAGTTTCCATATAACAAAAAAATAATTCCTATCAAGTTTAAGTTCGATCGGATAACAAGAATCCGTGCCTGCGGGTCATTAAACTTTGGAGTACTCTTGTATTAAGTTGTCTACGTTATCAATATTTTTTAAAGCGTGTTTTCCACAGAATTCGCCCTAGAGGACTTTTCTTTTTTCTTTCTACATCGTTTAAGATCTTATAGTCTCATTTAAACAATTAAATAAATTGTTGATGATTATAAAAATAAAAATAAATAGTTATTGCATTTATTATTTGAGCTATAACAAATCATGTATGGACTATAAAAGTTGCAATAGTATGTTTGCGTGCATGCACGCGCGTGTATATACTCTAGTAGCATAAAATGTTGGCGCAGTATTGGGAAATTATGTAAATCCAATGTTAAATATTGGGTATAAATTGATTTCCCATTTGGGAAATTGGTCCAATATTGTAAGATGGATATCGCTTCTCATTTAACCAATATTGGTCAGCAATATTGGTCCAATAGCATTGGACAATATTGGGCAAATGTTAAGCAATAATATTTACTCAGTTTTTTCACGTTGGACATTAATTGGATCCTAATGTGAAACTAATCCCAGTAAACGTTAGATATTCCTGGAAAATTTATAAAATGTTCCTAAAATCCAAAATTAATAATCCAAGAATATCCCAAAATATTCATAGAATATACAAGGAATATTCAAATAAGCGTTAAAAATTCCATTTTTTTAATATTAGCGAATTGATTGAAATGAAGAACTAGTCAGCGTTTGCTGACTTTATTTGAAATTTAAAATTACTTGATTCCAAATATTATATTGCACTTAAAAATTCTCACTAACACTGGGATTCGAACTTGGACTTGAGGCATCTTTGGATTATGAGCCTATTGCTTTAGACATTACATCACTTTTTCGATCAATATAAACGTCTTATATTTTGTCTATATATGTTGCAATTAACGCAGTAATATAATTTTTTTATATGATTTTTTATAATATTATTCAATTTTAATAAAAATTATATTTTTCGTACTTTTATTATTAATTTAAATCTTAACTAGTGAGGTAAGGTCTACGAAACACCGCACTTTCTATTTCAGTCTTAAAATTTGTATAGTAAAAATTTTTTTATTGCTCTTATTAAATAGACAAAGTCATAAGAGATTATGAAATAACGTGTAAATGTTGAAATATAATATTGGCAATAGATTACCATTTACTCAGAAATCAATATTAATATTATATTAGGAAATATTGGCCAATGTACTTCCAATATAAACGCAATATCATGTAATTGTTGAAACATAACATTAGTCGTTCATTGTCCTTCATTCTATATGTAATATTCATATGTTGGGAAATATTGGCCAATGCACTTTCAATGTAAATGCAATATTGTATATTTATTGACGTGTTATATTGGCAATATATTAACATTTATTCTGAGATCAATATTAATTTTATATTGGGAAATATTGGCCGTATTTTTAATGTAAATACAATATTATATAAACATTTTACGTACAATATTAGTTATATATTTGTAATTATTGCATGCCTAATATTGGCTTAACATTGAGGAATTTGGCCAATGTAAATGCAATACCATCTTATTATTGACACGTAATATTGGCAATAAATTAACATTTAATCTGTAATCAATATTATACTGGCCATATTGCAAATATTGGCCATTGCATTGCCAACATAAACAAAATATCGTGCAATTGTTGAAACATAACATTGGCCGTACGTTGGCCTTCATTCTATATGTAATATTCATATTACATTGGGAAATATTGGCCAATGCATTTTCAATGTAAATGCAATATTGGGTATTTATTGATGTGTAACGTTGGCAATATATTAATATTTATTCTAAGATCAATATTAATTTTATATTGGGAAATATTGGCCAATGCATTTTCAATGTAAATGCAATATTGGGTATTTATTGATGTGTAACGTTGGCAATATATTAATATTTATTCTAAGATCAATATTAATTTTATATTGGGAAATATTGGCCAATGCATTTTCAATGTAAATGCAATATTGGGTATTTATTGATGTGTAACGTTGGCAATATATTAATATTTATTCTAAGATCAATATTAATTTTATATTGGGAAATATTGGTCAACGTATTTCCAATGTAAATCCAATATTATATAAATATTTAACGTACAATATTAGTAATATTTAATTATTCCATATACAATAATATTGGCTATAATATTATTCCATATACAATAATATTGGTTGAATATTAGAAAATATTGGTCAATATATTCCCAAGATAACCAATGTAAAGCCAATGAATTTTGTTACTAGGGTATACGTGTGTCTTACAATCTAGAAGATATCTAATTTTGTGTGTGTATATTTAAAAATTATAAACAGATAAATAAATGTGAATTACACACGTTGCATCTGATGTATGCGTTCTAAGCAAATAAAATTTAATACTCTAGCTCATTGTAATCATTAATCATTGGTACTGTTTTTTTTTTTTCAGAACTATTTCATACCGAACGTTCTCACGTTCGCGCGTTGAACGTGCTTTTGCATGTCTTCCATAAACCGTTGCTGGAGTCCCAAGTGCTGCCATTAGATCAAATACAGTTGCTTTTCTCGAATCTGGACGAAATGCTAATGATCCACTCGCGCTTTAATCAATCGATGAAACGGAAGAAGAAAGAGAATCCGTGCGTGGGTGATGTGGGTGAACTTTTACTAGAGATGTTTGATGGTGAGGCCGGCGAAGCATTCGAAAAAGCTGCGTCGACTTACTGCGCTAAACAGCAAGTTGCACTAGACGCTCTACGTGATCGTCGACGTAAGGATTCTAAGCTAAATTCTTTTCTGAACGAAATAGAAGCAAATCCGCTGTGCCGTCGACTTCAGCTAAAGGATCATATACTTACCGGTATGTTACGGCTCACTAAGTACCCACTGCTTTTTGAAAATCTTGCCAAATATACGCCAGATAACAATGAAAAAGAGAAAGCGGCCGTGCTGCGAAGCCTTGAACGTAGCAAGGAAATCCTAAGTCGTGTAAATCAGGCAGTGAGGGAGGCTGAGGATCATCAACGGCTCACTGAGATTCAACGGACAATCGATCGATCAGCTTTCGACAAGTTTGATCATCCAACTGTACAGGAATTCAAGAATCTCGACATTACGAAGCGTAAGCTGATCTATGAAGGACCTTTACAGTGGCGTCGCACCGAGCCAAATCGCTCAATGCCGAATCGTTCAGTATCGAAACCGGTGGATTTACATGTGGTATTACTCGACGATACAATCTTTTTCTTGCATCGACAAGACGATAAATATCTATTAAAATTTATTAACACGACAAATCAAGCGGGTAATTCCGTGCTCAGTCCAATCGTCAAGCTATCTACTGTATTGGTGCGTGTCAATGCCGCCGAGAAAGACTCTTTCTATCTAGTTAATACCTCGCAAAACGGCGCACAAATGTACAATCTGGTGGCACCATCCCCTGTGGAACGTCAGCTCTGGTGGAAGCACATTTCCGAGGCTGTAGAAGCTTACAAGGCACGTGATCGTCAAGGTAGAAGACCAACGCCGCCTACTTCTCTCCCAGAAGAGTCAACGCACGTAATAGAAGACGCGTCATCCTCTGTCATGGAAGTGGATAACACAGTCGCCGAGAAGGATCAAGGATTGCAGAATCGAGAAACGCGAGAGCTTGAGCAGGGTGAAGCTGTTGTTACTACTATTACTTCCATTACTCCTTCTATTTCTGCTACTGCTGTTACTGCTGCTACTACTACCACTACCACTACCACCACTACTACTTCTACTACTACTAGTATTATTGCTGCTGCTACTGCTGCTACTACTATTACTACTACTACTGTTGATACACAAGAACATGACGAGAAGACATCAGATTCTTCTACAGAGACTTCAACGACCGAACAAACACAACAACGAGTGCAACAGCAGTCGACTGAGTCATCAACAACAGGTTGTATTAAAAAAATTTGTTTAAATATTTAAAAAAATTTATGTTACAATAATTTTGTTTAACAAATATTAACATTATTGAAGTCATCTATAATAACTTTTTGACCTTGACGTATGTTACCAATTGACGCTGAATCACCTTCAAAAGAATCTGTCTGGCGCTTATTGTTTGTTAAAAAATTATTAATGAAAGAAGTTAAATGAAAAGAAACGTAAAAAAGTTAAGTGGAAAGAACGCAATTTTTGTATAACATATACAGAGCGTTTATTTAAAAAGTTTTAATCTCAATATTTTTTATGCATTATAGAAAGAAATTTGGAACATAAAAGTTATAGGGTTTTGAGAAAAACATATGATGGCAATTTTGAAAACTACATAAGCTACGATTTTCAAGGTCATTTCAAGGTTAACTTTTTTCTTAAATGAAAAGAGGTATTTTTTTATTTCAGAATTAAAAAAGCAGAAAATTTTGCGTTTTAAACTTTTTAAGACTTATCTTTTAATAGTTTTTTTTTTTTTTACTGAAAGAATATTAGTAAATGTTAAAATACGTGCATGTCTTGTAAACTTATATGAATGTGTATACGTATGTGTGCCAGTATGTGAGGATGAAGAATGAAATAAACAACAAATATCGTGGATTAGTAAACGTGGATCATTGAGTGTCCATCAAGGCAGAAACCACTTGACTGGCATGCGCGTCAAAAGGCGCATTCGCGACTATTCCAAAGCTTGCACGCGCGCCAAAAGACGCACGCTTTACGTCAGAAAGAACTTGCCTTACTTCTTCGCTAGAAATATATTATTGATCTTAAAAAGTCACTAATCTGATATTTTCGACATCAAGGAATCCGAATTTCATGACAAAATTAAAGAATTTTGGTAAACCTTTACATTAACGGACCCAGCACCGATGACTTTAACCTTCATATATATGATAGAGGTCACTCTCCTGAGTAACGTTCAGAAGGTTTTAGCCATCGCTTATTGTTCGTTAAAAAGTTATTAACAAAAGAAGTTACATAAAATGAATGTAATTTTTGGACACTGTATATACAAAAACATCGAATTTATAGGTTAGGAAGGTGCCAGCTGTACGCACGTACACACACACACACACACACACACACACACCGCCGGGTGAATGCATGCGTATGCAACTGAACGTAACATACGCATATACGTGTACTGTTTACCATATTTTTTAACATTATTATTTCAATATATTTATATAACATTATTATTTCAATATATACTGTGTACCAAAATTATGTTACTCAGGAGAGTGACCTTTATCATATATATGTAGTTCAAGGTTATTGGTGCTAGGTCCGTTAATGTAAAGATATATCAGAATTTTTAATTCCCGTTGTACTATTGTGAGTTTAACCCTTTATGTCACGGATTTTTCTGCACAATAATTCCTTTCCTCAATCGATATCTGAGGATTTTTGGAGTCACTAATTACGAATTTGAAGTCAGTTTTTGAAAATTTAAGATGGCGGACCCAATATGGCGGACAACAATTTTAAAACTCCCTCGATTTCTGTGAAAATTGGTTAGTCATTAGTATTGTCCTTTTTGGCGTCGCTGATTACGAATTTGAAATCATTTTTTTGAAATTCAAGCTATTCACAGACTCAACTTCACTCATTTACGGAAAGAAATATAATTTATCCCGATTGTTGGTATTTTAGTTCACCATATTCAATTCGCTATCTTGAATTTAGAAATTTTTTAGGTTGCATCATCATCTACAGCTAAAAAAACATCTAACAAGTCATTTTTTCCATAGGTTTACTTTGCAATAAAAAGACAAATGATTTTTTTTAAATACCATTTTTTTACATTAATTTGTTTATGAATAATTAAATTTGCAAAATTTAATTTAGGAATTTTCACAGAAATCGAGGGAGTTTTAAAATTGTTGCCCGCCATATTGAATCCGCCATCTTGAATTTTCAAAAACTGACTTAAAATTCGTAATTAGTGACCCCAAAAATCCTCAGATATCGATTGAGGAAAGGAATTATTGTGCAGAAAAATCCGTGACATAAAGGGTTAAACTCACAATAGTACAACGGGAATTAAAAATTTTGATATATCTTTACATTAACGGACCAATAACCTTGAACTACATATATATAATAGAGATAACCCTCCTGAGTAACATTCAGGAGGTTTTAGCCGTCGCTCGTTGTTTGTTAAAAAATTATTAACAAGTTCTATGCAGATGATTCTATTATAGGCCAGCCAGCACAAATTCGTTCCTGGAATATCTTCCGATCTTCCAGCAGGAAGATTTGAATATTTGTAGAAAGTTCTTTTAAGAAGATAAATATTCTAGGAATATTCTTATGTTTTCAAAAGAACATTATCTTAAATATTCTAATAATATTCTTCGGGAATATTCCCACATATATTCATAGAATATTCTATGCATGATTTAATTTTCGATCGAGGAATATTCTACACCGGAAAAAAAGTTTGTTAGAAAAATTGTTAAATAAAAAGGAAGATCTTTAATCCTAGAATTTTTGTTGTGGTTGCTAATGTGACTCTAGTTATTGCAATCTTTTTATAATGGTGTGCCATTTAATTAATTTCATTTATAATTTGCTTGGAAAAAATCGCTGATTCCAGTTGGACTCGAACCTGAGACCTTTAGTTCTTGAGGAACTCGTCTTATCTACTGAGCCACTGTTATTAACTGATGAGAATAACTATTAAAATGGTACATGTGTCATTCGCTTTGAACGTTTATTCGCTTTCGAAGTATTCTTTATTAATGTACCGAATTTAGTACAGAATAAAAATTTTCAATTAGCTCCTTCAAACTTTTCATTATATGAAAATGGGTGTATCCCGTATCACATATGCTTACAAAATTATTTTCCGAATATTCGAATTTACAAGGTTTCTTGAATATTTGAAAAGTCATTTTCGCCGAATATTCCATAAAACGTACATAATATTATTCAATTATAAATATTCCAGATTAAATCACATAGAAGATTCATATTCCTATAATGATATTGGAATTTTCTTTTCATAATATTCATATGAGAAGATTTATAGGTCTTTCCACGAATATTATATTGCTGGCTGGATATATAAAATTATTTTTCGAATATTTCAATATACAAGATTTTTTAATATTTCAAAAATCACATTCGGGTAATATTCCATACAAAATACATAATATTATTCAATTACGAATATTCCAAATACCATTACAGAGAAGTACCATTACAGATTCATATTCCTGTAACAATATTAGAATATTTATTTCAGAATATTCCTCTAAGACGATCTATAGCATTTTCCGGAATATTCTGGGATAATCTGTGTTGGCTGGAAGGAACATCTAAGCTTCGCAATGAATCCATATTTACAGTTTCGAAGTCTCTACAAATTAGTTTAAATTCGTAAAACCTGCTTTAGAAAAGGTGTATTATATATAATACACTATGATTTAAAAGGTTAATACGCACGGAAAATTATTTCTTTTATATTGATTTGAGAATTGAGATTATGCTTTCATAATATTGATCTTTAAGTCAGATGAAATTAATAAATAAATGTAATAAACATTTCCAAAACGTATAAACATAGTTAACCTTCATGTATTTCCTGGTGATACGACCCTAAAATGTACAACGATAGAATTTTATATCCTTTTTTTGGTTTTCTATATTTTATTTGTTTATATATTATTTGTGTTTTTACGTTTTGCATTTGTTTGTTTCTTTATATATATTGTTTTTATAATTTTAATTATATGTGGTATTCTTCGAAAAAAGACATGCAAAATAGAATGTATACAACATTTTATCGTCACATCCATTGGACGTGAAAATGTTTATTATATTCTTTTATTAATGTTATTTGACTTAAAAAACAGTATTATGAAATCGTAATTTCAGTTCTCAAATCAATGTAAAAGAAATAATTTTCCGTGAGTATTAAATCCACAACAGTGCAACAGAGATTAAAAATTCTTTAATTTTGACGTGAAATTCGGATTTCTTGATGCCAAAAACATAAAATTAGTAACTTTTTAAGATCAATAATACATTTCCAGCGAAGAATTAAAGCGAGTTTTTTCTGGTGCCAAGCATGCGTCTTTTGATACGCGTGCAAGTTCTGGGATAGTCGCGGATGCACCTTTTGGCGTATATATTAGGTGGTAAACTTAGTTCCTGCGGTTTTTTTGTTTAAAAAACTCATTTATTTCGACATCAAAAGCAAAAAATACATTAATCGAAGTATTTTCCCTCGCTAGCTATACATTTTTCCCATCTTTCGGGCAACGCGTAGATTCCGCGACGATAGAACGATTGGTCTTTTGATGCAATCCATTCGTCGATCCATTTTCGCACATCCTCGTAATTTCTGAAGTGTGTATCCACCAAGCCGTGCTGCATCGACCGGAACAAGTAATAGTCCGAAGGAGCTAAGTCTGGTGAATACGCTGGGTGCGGGAGAACTTCCCACTCGAGCTGCATCAGTGTTTCTTTGACGGCTTTGGCAACGTGTGGTCGAGCGTTGTCGTGCAAAAGCATGACTTTACGTCGATTGCTGGCTACTGCTGGCCTTTTTTCCAACAATGCTTCATTCAGACGGTTTAATTGTGATTGATATCGATCCCCCGTGATACTTTCGTTCGGTCTGAGTAGCTCATAATAAACGACGCCGTGCATATCCCACCAAATGCAAAGCATTGCTTTGTGGCCATGAATATTTCTCTTTGGTGTGGATGTCGATGGTTGGCCAGGGTCTACCCATGATTTTCTTCGTTTAGGATTATCGAAGTATATCCATTTTTCATCGCCAGTCACTATGCGCCACAAAAAACTCTTCTTTTTCTGCCTGGCGAGCAGAGAAATAGAGATGTTTAAGCGATTCGCAATGGCATTTGCGGTTAATTCGTGTGGTACCCATTTTCCCTCCTTTTGAATTTTTCCCATTGCATGTAGACGTTTGGAAACAGCCATCGG